ATTTTGAGATTAAAGTCAGAATTTTGAGATTAAAGTCAGAATTCTTAGATTAAAGTCAGAATTTTGAGATTAAAGTCAGAATTTTGAGATTAAAGTCAGAATTTTGAGATTAAAGTCAGAATTCTGACTTTTTTCTTAGAATTCTGACTGAATTCTGACAATGAAAAAAGTCAGAATTCTTAGATTAAAGTCAGAATTTTGAGATTAAAGTCAGAATTTTGAGATTAAAGTCAGGATTCTGAGAAAAAAGTCAGAATTCTGACTTTTTTCTTAGAATTCTGACTGAATTCTGACAATGAAAAAATTCAGAATTCTTAGATTAAAGTCAGAATTTTGAGATTAAAGTCAGAATTTTGAGATTAAAGTCAGAATTCTGACTTTTTTTTAGAATTTTGACTGAATTCTGACAATGAAAAAATTCAGAATTCTTAGATTAAAGTCAGAATTTTGAGATTAAAGTCAGAATTTTGAGATTAAAGTCAGAATTCTGACTTTTTTCCCATGTTAAACTGAAATAAAAATTTAAAATCAGTTATTTTTTTTTTCAGTGGCCCTAATCCTCTTCCGTAGTTTTACCATCCATGGATGAAAAAAAAAAAATTCTGAATGTGTTTTTTATTCAGTAATTAACTTAATGAAATTAAATGCGATGGAATAAAAAACAGCTTTGTCAAAAGATAATTATAAATCAGTTTAATTCAGTTTATTTCTATAGCTCCAATTCACATCATGTCATCTCAGGTCACTTTCCAGTTCACCAGATCATCCAGTCAGATTGATTCAAAGTTTTTTATCTAAGAAAAAACAGTTGATTGTATCAGGTCATTGACTCTTCAGCAATCCCTCACACTAAGCATGCTTGTAGTGACAGTGGAGAGGAAAAACTCCCTTTGAACAGGAAGAAACCTCCAGCAGAACCAGGCTCAGTGTGAGCGGCCATCTGCTGAGGCCCACTGGGGTTCAATATATATAATTTTTTTTCTTTCTCCAACATAAAGATCAGAGCATTCCTCACTGCATTGAACTCTGGGGGTTTTCTTTAGGATACATATTCAGCCATCATGTTAAAAAGGCTTCATCCCACAGGTAAGGGCTCTGTCCATCCACTGTCTGCCTCTTCATGTAATTGGTTCATGAGGGAAATCCATATATTCTTCTCACTACTAACTTTTTTAAAATGATTCTGGAGCATTCCACTTTAAGTTGTGTTCAGATGGAGCTTATAGTCCCTCCAGTTTATGGTCTTCTCCTGGGTCTTTCATGGATCCATGTAAGGTTTTTAAAACACTACTGTAATTCTGTGTTCTACTGACCCAAACCTAATGTTCCCATTAAAAACCAATCTGACTTCCTTTGTTTAAATGAAAGGGGTCATCAGCAAAATTAGACACATGAACAGAATCAGGGTCTTGATGGTGTGAGGAAAATAACAGCTGTAATCGTTTGCTTTGAAAATGCGTCACGTCGCTCAGGGACTGGAATAACTTAACCCTGTTTTCTCTTCCCAGTTCCTGCAGGATCCCAGCAGTCACAGATTCATCTCCTGCTCCATCTTCTCCTCCTGTCCTCTTTTCCTCTTGCCCTCCTTTCCCACTGTCAGTATTCGTCTGGGTGTTTATCATGTGTTTCCTGTCAGCCGTTTGCCCTTCCCCTCCCTCTCTGCTGGTCCAGTTGCCTCCTCCCTCTGCAGACTTCTACCAGTTTTTATACAATTTTTATTTTATTTATTGTTTTTTCTCTTATACACTGCAAAAAATAGAAATCTCAATAAGTTATTTTTTCTTAAAATAAGTGCGTTTTTCCTTGATTTGAGGAGGTAAGTAAGACACTTTGCCAATGGAACAAGACAATTTCCTTTTAAAATAAGAAAAAACTATTTTATCGTCTTATTTCAAGTAAATATTATCTAACTATCTTATTTTAAGAGTGAAAATACTCATTCCATTGGCAGATCATCTTATTTACCTGCTCAAATTAAGGCTAAATATACTTAATTTAAGCCATTTTTTTACTTATTTCTGGATTGTTTTTGCAGTGTAGACCACACAACAAAAAATAACTTCTAAAAAATAAGAAAAAAATATAGTGTTTAAAGTGAGTTATTGCTTTTTTTGAGCAAAATAATCTGCCAGTGCAGCAAGCAAATGAGACTTGGTAAGATTTCTTAAAACAAGAACATAATATCCGAGTAGTAAGCATCCAAAAAAAGTATAAAAATCTATTTTTTCTTTTACTCATTTATTAGTCATTATTGCTTAGAATTAAATGTCCTCTAACCAATTGTTGCTCAAAACAAGCATCCAACAGGCTTAAAAACAAGGCAAATGTCCTTGATACCAGTTAATTTAAAGGCTTAAAACAAGTCTTTTTTTCTTAGCTAGAATTAATGCAATCAGATTTGATTACACTGCAAAAAAAATCTAAATCTTGATAAGTCATTTTTTCTTAAATAAGTTGATTTGTTCTTGAATTGAGGAGGTAAAAGAGACATTTTGCCAATTGAACAAGACAATTTACACTTAAAGTAAGAAAACACAATTGCATTGTCTTATTTCAAGTGCATATTATCTAATTATCTTATTTTAAGAGTAAAATTACTCGCAAACTATCTCATTTACCTACTCAAATTAAGGGTGAATACACTTAATTCAAGAACTTTTTACTTATTACTAGATCGTTTTTTCAGTGTAGCTGGAATATCTTAATGAGATGGGGTCAGTTCTTAAAACAGGTTAATATGGATAAGTAAAAATGTACTCACAGTCTAAATGTTAACGCGACTCAGTCCGTTATGTGTGCTATTTTAACCCCTAGAACCCTAAGGACCCACCGGCGGGTCCAGCTGCTACGTGACCTCGTAATTTTAACAAACCCCCAGTATTGATGTAAAAAACACATTTGGCACAGTTTGGTGACATTTATGGATAAATGTGCCAAAATGGCCTCTCCGCCTAAGAAATTTCTCACTAATACCATTCTAAAATAAATATGATTCATCTGATTGAGTCCAGATTTGGTATATTTTTACACAACATTTAGATTTAAAAGTCTGTACTACTTTTTTGTGCTATAAATAATATTTTGGTAGTGTTTTGCAATGTTTATTTCAAAGAAAATTTTGGCGAGGTTCAAAAAATGCAAAATATTTTGTATTTTGTCCCTAATATTTCAGGCAGGGTCAAAGCTACAATGGTGCTGACACCAGAAAACCATTCTATGACATCTTACCTTTACAGACGTACCAAAAGTTTCTTCTTAAATCTAGTAGCTGTGAGGCTATAAGTGATTTACTTTTGTGTGTTTTTGTCAGGCAGAAATTTATTTATACCCCCTTAGGGTGTAAGAGGTTAAGAAAAAAGCTGCTCAGAATTAGTTTTATTATCTAGTTAGGATGAAAGAAATGAATTTTCTTAAAACAAGTCAAATAATCTTAACAATATTCAGTCTTACTAAGAAAATACATTGAAAAACAAGTTTAATAAGACCAAAATGCTGAATTCAAGTTTATTAAACTTGTATAGATTTTCCTTTTTGCAGTGCACACACACTGGTAGCAACACATACACTGGAAAAACGATCTAGAAATAAGGAAAAATTTCTTAAATTAAGTGTATTTACCCTTGATTTGAGTAGGTAAATTAGATAGTATGCCAATGGAATCAGTATTTTTACTCTTAAAATAAGATAATTAGATAATATGCTCTTGAAATGAGAGAATGCAATTGTGTTTTCTTATTTTAAATGTAAATTGTCTTGTTCCATTGGCAAGATGTCTCTTTTATCTCCTCAATTCAAGAACAAATGCACTTGTTTGACTTATCTAGATTTAGCTTTTTTGCAGTGTTGAAAACGATCAGCGTGTGAACATGTGTGTGTGTTGACGGCCCAGTTTCCGGCTGTTTGTGATGGCAGAGTGTGTTAAATGGCGACAGGTGGCCGGCTCCTGCAGCAGTTAATTAACGCAAGTTAGTCCCATCAAGGAAGCAAAACCTCTGAAGATATTTTCTCTTATTACACTGCAAAAATGATCTCAAAATGAGTAAAAATGTCTTAAATTAAGGGTATTTACCCTTAATTTAAGCAGTTAAATAAGATGATTTCCCAATGGAATTAGTATTTTTACTCTTAAAATAAGGCATCTAGATAAAATGCACTTGAAATAAGACAAAGCAATTGTTTTTTCTTATTTTAAGTGTAAATTGTCTTGTTCCATTGGCAAAGTGTCTCACTTAAATCCTCAATTCAAGAAAAAATGCACTTATTTTAAGAAGAAATGACTTATTTAGATTTCATTTTTTTCAGTGTATTTATTTCTTTTTTTTTACATTTAATCATTTGGAAAAACAATTAACTATAACACTAATTAGTCATTTAACTTTTTAATGTTTATGTTTTGCTCATTTATTGCATAATTTCGCAGCATTTTACCTTCTCTCTTCGGCATGCTGAAACACACACAGCGCCTCAGATTTCAGCAGCCGTTTCATGCTGTGACCTAATTTTCTGTCTACTTTTTAAAAAATTATTTATTTTCTCTCTACACTTGATTACCTTTTTCTTTTCTTTTTTTTTAACCAAACACGTTGCAGTCTTCTTTTCCTTCCTGATAAGTAGCAAGGTTACACAGAGGAAGCGGGAAAAACAACAGACCCTAATAGATGTTGATTGGAGGCCATGGGAGTCGCTCAGCCTGTCACCAAGGCCTCTGTGGGACTGTGTGAAAGTCTATTTGTGCGTCTCTTCTGCTTTTTGGCTTGGCTTTGAAACACACCTTTTAACCGGCATCGATTTTAGCTAATGAACCTCGGAGATCCTGTCCTTCACTGCGCTGCTGCTAACGATGACAGCATGAGAGCCTGGGAGTATTTAGCTCTCACCCAGCGGAGCAAGTAGAACAACGGCTTTGATGCCTGCAGCTAAATATAGCCACAGATATCGCCTTTGATCAAAAAAAGCATATTCTATGTGTGACAGTTATTTTTATCTCTCTTTTCTAACAGCACTGTCCACTCGGAGTCCTACACCAAACTGTGCTGCAAAGGCTTCTGCATAGACATCCTGAAGAAGTTGTCCAAAACCATTAAGTTCTCCTTTGACCTCTATCTGGTCACCAACGGAAAACACGGCAAACTGGTGCACGGGATTTGGAACGGGATGATTGGGGAGGTAAGGCTGAACGCTGCGGCTGTTTCACCCCAAATGGTGAAAAAAATTACACCGGAAAAAATTGAAATCTAGATGAGCCATTTTTCTTAAAATAAGTGCATTTGTTCTTGGATTGAGGAGGTAAAAGAGACACTTTGCCAATGGAACAAGACAATTTACACTTAAAATAAGAAATCACAATTGGATTGTCTTATTTCAAGTGCATTTTATGTAAATATATTATTTTAAGAGTAGAAATACTGATTCCATTGGCAAACTCATTTACCTACTCAAATTAAGGGTAAATACACTTAATTTAAGGAATTTTGACTTATTTCTAGATGGTTTTCCAGTGTATTTTGTAAAAAAAATTCAACTTATACTTAAACTTTTCACTGTAAAAAATTGTAATCTAGATAAGTCATTTTTTCTTTAATTAAGTGCATTTGTTCTTGAATTTAGGAGGTAAGTGGGACACTTTGTCAATGGAACAAGACATTAGAAGATTAAAGTCATAAAATTAAGAGAAGAAAGCTGTAACGCAGCAAAGATAAGGTCGTAATATTAGCAGAATAAAGTCGTGCCATTACGAGAATAAAGTGGTAAAATTATCCGAATAAATTTGCAACTTTACGAGAATAAAGTTGCATTTTATGACAACTCCTACAAGAAGCACTGTCCTCCCTAAAATGAAGAATGTCGAGCATCATGTGAAGTTATACTTTGGTACGACGGAGTATTAGTGCCAGGCTGGAGTTTTTTTTAGTTTTTTTTTTATTACGTGAATAAAGTCACAGAGAGAACAGTCCTAAAATTACGAAAATAAAGTCATAAATTACAAGTATAAAGTCGTAAAATGATGAGAAAAAAGTTCTAATATGAGAATAAAGTTCTAATATTGCGAGAATAAAGTTGCATTTTATGATAACTCCTACAAGAAGCACTGTCAGCACTAGAAAAACGATCTACAAATAAGTAAAAATGTCTTAAATTAAATGTATTTACCCTTAATTTGAGTAGGTAAATGAGATAGTTTGCCAATGTAAAGAGTATTTTTACTCTCAGAATAAGATGATTAGATAAAATGCACTTAAAATAAGACAATGCAATTGTGTTTTCTTATTTTAAATGTAAATTATCTTGTCCTATTGGCAAAATGTCTCTTTTACCTCGTCAATCCAAGAACAAATGCACTTATTTTAAGAAAAAATGACTTATTTAGACTTCGATTTTTTCCAGCGCACCCTAAAATGTGGAGCATCGTGTGAAGTTATACTTTGGTACGACGCAGTATTAGTGCCAGGCTGGAGTTTTTTTTTTTTTTTTATTACGTGAATAAAGTCACAGAGAGAATAGTCATAAAACTACGAAAATAAGGTCATAAATTATAAAGTCGATAAAATGATGAGAATAAAGGTGTTTTATTATGAAAATAAAGTTCTAATATTGCGAGAATAAAGTTGCATTTTATGACAACTCTTACTAGAAATACTTTCTTCCCTAAAATGTGGAGCATCATGTGAAGTTATACTTTGGTACGACGGAGAATTAGTGCCAGGCTGGAGTTTTGTTTTTATTTTTTATTACGTGAATAAAGTCACAAAGAGAATAGTCATAAAATTACGAAAATAAGGTCATAAATTATAAAGTCGATAAAATGATGGGAATAAAGGTGTTTTATTATGAAAATAAAGTTCTAATATTGCGAGAATAAAGTTGCATTTTATGACAACTCTTACAAGAAGCACTTTCTTCCCTAAAATGAGGAATGTGGAGCATCATGTGAAGTTATACTTTGGTACGACGGAGTATTAGTGCCAGGCTGGAGTTTTTTTTTTTTTTTTATTACGTGAATAAAGTCACATAGAGAATAGTCATAAAATTACGAAAATTAAGTCATAAATTACACGTATAAAGTCGTAAAATGATGAGAATAAAGGTGTAATATTATGAGAATAAAGTTCTAATATTGCGAGAATAAAGTTGCATTTTATGACAACTCTTACAAGAAGCACTTTTTTCCCTAAAATGTGGAGCATCATGTGAAGTTATACTTTGGTACGACGGATTATTAGTGCCAGGCTAAGAGAATAGTCATAAAATTACGAAAATAAAGTCATAAACCACAAGTATAAAGTCGTAAAATGATGAGAATAAAGTTGCATTTTATGACAACTCTTACAAGAAGCACTTTTTTCCCTAAAATGTGGAGCATCATGTGAAGTTATACTTTGGTACGACGGATTATTAGTGCCAGGCTAAGAGAATAGTCATAAAATTACGAAAATAAAGTCATAAACCACAAGTATAAAGTCGTAAAATGATGAGAATAAAGTTGCATTTTATGACAACTCTTACTAGAAGCACTTTCTTCCCTAAAATGTGGAGCATCGTGTGAAGTTATACTTTGGTACGACGGAGTATTAGTGCCAGGCTAAGAGAATAGTCATAAAATTACGAAAATAAAGTCATAAACCACAAGTATAAAGTCGTAAAATGATGAGAATAAAGTTGCATTTTATGACAACTCTTACTAGAAGCACTTTCTTCCCTAAAATGTGGAGCATCGTGTGAAGTTATACTTTGGTACGACGGAGTATTAGTGCCAGGCTGGAGTTGTTTTTTTTTTTTTTATTACGTGAATAAAGTCACAAAGAGAATAGTCATAAAATTACGAAAGTAAAGTCATAAATTACACGTATAAAGTCATAAAATGATGAGAATCAAGGTGTAATGTTATGAGAATAATGTTCTAATATTGCGAGAAAAAAGTTGTATTTTATGACAACTCTTACTAGAAATACTTTCTTCCCTAAAATGTGGAGCATCATGTGAAGTTCTACTTTAGCATCGGTTTGACAAATCAGGAAATCTTTTAGCAGCAGCATCAAACTGGGCAGGATAAAAAAGGCTGCGGGCCTTAATGCTTCATTCTGATTTTATTTTGGCGTTGCCGCTCACATTTCCGAATATATACGACTTGGTTTTTGAACTCGCATGCACCAACGCCTGCAGTAGAGGACGCAATGACATCACAAGCCAGCTTGCTCTGTGTTTACGGAAGTAAACATGGATGTTAGTGCCGGAGCGCATCTAGCGATCTTTCCCAAACATAATAACACAATCTCTTCAAGATGGTTAAACATAAATACTGCTCTCCGCATCATCGTCTGCCAATGTTGTTGTTTTTCTTGCCGCTTCTTCATAGCAAGACCCAGAATAGTGACCTTTGTCGGGTATTAGTGGCGTTCAGGTCGCATTTGAAAAGATCAGATTCTAAATTAGGGTAAATCAAGCTTTCCGTTTCTAAAGTCTCTGCGTTCACGTTAGACGCCCTTCAAGTAAAAAGTCCTAAATGAAAGCGATGCTGCAGTAAATGACTCGCTGAGGCGGGAGGAATCGCTTCAGTTTAGGGACTGCGTACCTGCCAACCTGCTTCAAACCCATCAGCAGCCAAATGTGAAACCATGTGAACAGATGTTCTGCAGAGGAGCCTTCACGCTTGTGTTTCTGAGCCCGAGGGCATTCAGCTACTGTTACAGTGTAATTGTGTTTGTGCACAACGTTTATGAAGCCACTTTGGATTTGGGAAATCTCAAGATGTAGCGTTTAGCTCCTCCCTCAAGCACAATAATGAGACAAATGTGTCCCTGCAGAGAGATGCATTTACAGTCCTAACAGACAGCTGCAGCTTCTTTTCTGAGGTCTGTAGTAAAATGAAGAAGTAAAAAATGTCCAAAAATTGCAAAACAGAGTAAAGATGGGTCCTTTAAATAAAATAAAAATACTGCTGGCCAGTTATTGTGTTTCCCCTGCTGATATCTTCTGTTTCCCTGCATCTTTTATCAGGTGTTTTACAGGCGCGCTGACATGGCCATCGGCTCCCTCACCATCAACGAGGAACGCTCCGAAATCATTGACTTCTCTGTGCCATTTGTGGAGACGGGCATCAGCGTCATGGTAGCTCGTAGCAACGGCACCGTATCACCGTCTGCCTTTCTTGGTGAGAAATGGCTCCTCCGCGTTCATTTTCTATGCCCCCTCATGCAACTCTCATTTCTCGTCTTTTCTTTGACGGTGGCCTATTTAGAGGAGCTCTGCCTCTGCAGGCGTCCAGGAAACTTCCCATGAAGCTTTTTATCCCAGCAGAAGCTGCAGTCTAAAACTATATCCACTTTCAAAATATACACCTGAATTTCATTTTTAAAATCTGTACAGCGAAACGTAGAATTTCGATTCAGTTTGTTTATATAGCGCCAATTCACGACACACGTCATCTCAAGGCACTTTACAGAGACGATTCAACCGGATCATTGAGTCAGATTCAAAGTTTTCTATCTGTTTCTGAGGGGAAAAATCCTGGCAGGTTTTAACAAGAGACTCTTGGTGATCAATGTTTTTTGCAGGCATCTTAGATCAAGTTAGTTTTAGTCTTCAGGACGAAAATATCACTAGTTTTAGTCACATTTTAGTCTGTATGTGATCGTTTGGTTGCTTTTAGTCGACTAAAACTCAAAAAGTTGTATTTAGTTTTATGTTGCAATTCATAAAACAGTTAACTTTTACAATTTCCGATAACAACCAGATTCTTTACCAGACTTACAGCTCTATCCTAGATGTTACAATAGCTGTGTATAGAATGCTGCAGTGCAGTTCATCATTGCTGTTGACAGAAAACGTATATTTATAGAATTCAAAATAAACTTTTGTATGAATTAATGCATTAGTTAATAAAAAAGTGTTTCAGAAAAGTTGTGAAAATAGCAGATCTAGTTCAACACATCATATTGGTAAATATAGCAGACAGAGAAGCTAACAAAATGTAAAATAAAGGAATGGTTTTAGACAATTCATTTCAGTTTCAGTTTATTTCTATAGCTCCAATTCACATCATGTCATCTCAGGTCACTTTCCAGTTCAACCAGATCATCCAGTCAGATTGATTCAAAGTTTTCTATCTAAGGAAAACCAGCTGATTGCATCGACTCATTGACTCTTCAGCAATTCCTCACACTGAGCGTGCTTGTAGCGACAGTGGGGAGGAAAAACTCCCTTTGAACAGGAAGAAACCTCCAGCAGAACCAGGCTCAGTGTGAGCGGCCATCTGCTGAGACCCACTGGGGTTCAAGGAGACAGAAGCAGACATAGAAAAAGAAGCATAGATACAAAAGGCAACTGTAAAAGGCGGCCCCGTCCAGGAAACACACAGCCAGGCAGACAAGCTCCTAGCTAGCTGTAACTCAGGTTAAAATTCCATGGTCCCATTTTTTTCCCCAGTCACCTGAACACACCACAAGACGCACCCTTGAATTGAACCAATCATAGACCTAGAGCACATTTTATAAGCTGAGGTGAGCTTCCCCAATCGGTAACATGAGGCGGACACCACAAGAGTTGCTGCACCCCTGTCTACTACCGTGGTCTTAAACCAACTGGTGCTGCGGTGTGTCGAATATCTGCAAGAAATGCCCAGTTGAGGCCAGTTGTGGATAATTGATAGCGAGCTACTACCTGGAACAGAGTCTACCCTATAACATGCTCACCCTGTGGGTCTGGTAGGAGGCTGAAGCTTTGTTCACCCCCTCCACTATCATTTATACCCACGCAGATGGCTATTTATTAAGACTTGGATTATGGACTAAATGGATCCAACAAATCATTGTCCTCATTTGGATGTAACATTCATCGTTCATCTTTGAATACTCCTGAATTGTGTCATGATTTTATTGAAGGCTCGGACCCACATGCAGTGAAACCAAACAGAGAGACACGGATAAAAAGTTTGACGGGTTTTATTGAAGATGTTTAACTTGGTGCAGAGTTTCCCTGAACTCTGCCCAGCCGGAACTGGAAGGCGAGGGGAAGACAGACTGTTAGTTCAGGCTCAGTGGGAAATTTGATTCGTTGATCTTGAAGGAGAGGATCTGGTTGTTGACTCACGTTTCCAGAGAAGTGAAGGATCCTTGATTCCAATCTGTGTGCTGGTTTTCCAGTGTATGTCTGATTCGGTGGAGGGCGGAACAGAGTTTACCCAGAACTCGGTTGGTGTAGGAGAACGGAGACGCTGATTGCCACTCAGATTTCCTTCTTTACTTGAACGGGTCGTGGTGAAGATGATTCCCTTGCTCAGAGAGTAATTTCAACATCCTCAAAAAAGAGACTGGATCCAAACCTCCTGTTTGAATCCCTGACTCAGTTTAGACTCAGTTGATCCCTCCTGGGAGAGGAGGTCCGAAAAGGTCCAGTTTGCAGGATGACTTCCTGCCGAGAGGCAAAGACAAAAAACAAAGTTAAATCTCAGGGAGACAAGAACTCGGTCTGACTGAGAAAACTCAGCTTGGCAACCACTCTGGCGTCGAGGTAGTGGCAATCAGCAGCTTAGAAGCACTCTGTTAATGAGGTAACCGTCAGCAGGTGTGTGAGGAGACGAACCGGAACCTGGCGCCTCCTGCTGGTGGAAGGGAGACAAACACAAAAACAAACACACAGATAGGAGCCCTGACAAATTGCTGTATTTTTTTTTTCTTTAATTCTGTGAATTACTGAGTCTACGGAACTGAATTTTCTCAAGTGCACTATATCAATACCAACTTTTCCGCAGATTGTAAATATCTTGGATATTGTTTGTTGTTTTTCTTGTCTCCACATAGTATATGGTACCAAAATCAAATATGTCAGTGTCAGTGTCATTAATTACTTTCTTTCAACATCTCCTGAATCCAAATCCTTGTCTTCTAATACCCCCTATATATGCTGCAAAGCTCCCATGTCAGAGGATGAAGAGAGCACATCCAGTTAGTCACAGTCAGAGAAACAGGACTACACTGGAAAACAGGCCAAGCTCCAACATCTAGAAACAAAGGTGTTGATGGCAGCAGCACAGCTGATATTTCTCTCCAGGATGGAGTCACAGCCAAACAGGAACAGACCAGATGAAGCTACTATGAGAAAAAGCAGAGAGAGCAGAACGTTAGAGATTGAACTAACAGATTCTGCAGAGTGGGAGAATAGAGATAGAATGAAGCAGAATGATGAAAAAGGGGTCCCTATGTCCTCCAGCAGTCTAAGCCTATAGCAGCAGAACTATAGAGATAGATCAGGATAACCTGAGCCACTCTAACTAGAAGCTTTAACAAAAAGGAAAGTTTTAAGCCTAGCCTTAAAAGTAGACAGGGTGTCTGCCTCACGGACTAAAACTGGTAGTTGGTTCCACAGGAGAGGAGCCTGATAACTAAAAGATCTGCCTCCCATTCTACTTTTAGAAATTCTAGGAACCACTAGTAAACCTGCAGATTGAGAGCGAAGTGCTCTGTTAGGAACATCAGGAACAAGAAGTTGGCAATGTTTAGAAGATTGCTTAACGTTGCCAGCTTATTGTTTTCCAACCTGCTGTCTTTAATGAGTAAAGATTGTTACTGAAAATTTTTTTTCTGATGTTCCTTCTCTGCTAGAGCCGTACAGTCCAGCAGTTTGGGTCATGATGTTTGTGATGTGCCTGACCGTCGTGGCTGTGACTGTGTTTGTCTTTGAATACTTCAGCCCAGTGGGCTACAACCGCAGCCTGGTGAGCGCCAAAGGTGAGTCTTAGATCTTTCTGTTTCACTTTTATGTGCATATGGTTTATTTCGTTATTTGTAGAACGTTTTAGAAGTGAAGTATACGGAAGAGGATTAGGGCCACTGAAAAAAAAAAAAAAAAAGTTAACTGATTTTTAAATTTTATTTCAGTTTAGTTTGGGAAAAAAGTCAGAATTCTGACTTTAATCTCAGGATTCTGACTGTAGTCTGACAATAAAAAAATTCTGAGATTAAAGTCAGAATTCTGAGAATAAAGTTAGAATTCTGAGATTAAAGTCAGAATTCTGAGAATAAAGTTAGAATTCTGAGATTAAAGTCAGAATTCTGAGAATAAAGTTAGAATTCTGAGAATAAAGTTAGAATTCTGAGATTAAAGTCAGAATTCTGAGAATAAAGTTAGAATTCTGAGAATAAAGTTAGAATTCTGAGATTAAAGTCTGAATTCTGAGAATAAAGTTAGAATTCTGAGATTAAAGTCAGAATTCTGAGAATAAAGTTAGAATTCTGAGATTAAAGTCTGAATTCTGAGAATAAAGTTAGAATTCTGAGAATAAAGTTAGAATTCTGAGATTAAAGTCTGAATTCTGAGAATAAAGTTAGAATTCTGAGATTAAAGTCAGAATTCTGAGAATAAAGTTAGAATTCTGAGAATAAAGTTAGAATTCTGAGATTAAAGTCAGAATTCTGAGAATAAAGTTAGAATTCTGAGAATAAAGTTAGAATTCTGACTTTTTTCCCAAACTAAACTGAAATAAAATTTAAAAATCAGTTTACTTTTTTTTTTTTCAGTGGCCCTAATCCTCTTCCGTAGAAGTGTGTATATATATATATATATATATATATATATATATATATATATATATATATATATATATATATATATATATATATATATATATATATATATATATATATATATATATAGTATATGTATTTTTTTTTTTCTTTTAACCAAAAAACCACAAAAAAACTACTTTGGATTTAGTAGAAATGTGACTAAAATGTAAGCAGGTGCAGCATTGTATGATAGAAAACCAAGTTGTCATTACCAAATCCCATCCGTTCACATTCATCCCTCAAAAATCTGTGTTCAGGGGTTAAAATAACTCCGCAGATTAAAATGAGCTATTGTTACACTTCTTTCTAAAAATATACAGCAAATACCTTGAGGCCTCTCTGCTCCCATCACCCAGAGGCATTCACAGCCATCCTTCCTAAATCCAGAGCAGCCAACATGTCCTGCAACAGATAAGAGTTCCTGAACTAGATTTTCAGGAGGGGACCAATCAATCCCAGAAGGCAGCGCCTGCGGAGCGTGCCTGTCTCCGGGTCCGAAAGGTCATTTCCTCGTTTCAATTAGCAATCTTGGCTGCACTAATTGAAGAGTGATTGATGAAGGTGGTAACCTCAGCTGCTGTGCTTGAGCAACAGTAGGAACACTGAAAATTGGCTGAGGCAGTGAAACTGTTCTTTGCACTTTAAAGATAGGCATTAAAAATGATCCACTGCTACTTACAGGGCCATGGACAGAGTCAGAGTAAAAATACACACAAATAAACACAACTCCATGTCTTTTTGTTAAAAACATATTATATGCTGTAGTTCGTTTTTTTCCAGGCATGTTCCTAAAAACGAAAATGTTTCCAAGTTTGAAGACATTTCTCTTCCCTTCCAGGAAGATTTTTCAATTCAAAATAGCGTTTAGTTCCAGGTTTTATCCAGCAGCCCAACAAAGCCTGGTTTTAGTTTAGAAAACATGCAAATAGAAACGGATGAACGGGTCCCCCCCTTTGGGATGGGGGTCGTTTGGCTTCTTTGTTAGCCTGCAATGATCCCATCAAACACACTTCAAAAGGTGTAAAAAGCAGTTTTAAAGCTACAGTGTGTAATTTTCAGCGACATCTAACGTCCAGACTGCAGACTGCAGCAACATGAACATCTCCCCCCCACCGCTTCTCCCCCCCAACAATACGGCGAGCGTTACGGGACAAAATGTCTTCCACGACGTCGGAATCACCTACCTTCTCAATTAATGAGGTTTGTTTACATAGATAATTTTACAGATAGTATTTCATTAGTCTGTGTAGGGTATAGATTTGATAATAATAAATATATCCGTTATTTTTATTCTACATCGTTGTGACGTTTTGGTGAGCTGCTTTGCATGGTGATATAAACAGACGAAGTAATTGTAGTCATTAGTTTAACAGCGAGATTGTGTTCGCTGGAAGAATACCGGTATATATTCCCCGTTTACAGAGTCAAAGTCTTGTTTGTGGCACGGGGGTTACAAGGCGAGGAAGAGGGAAAAGAAGAGGGCAGAGAGGGCGGGGTGGGCGTGCAGCCAGGGCCAGGCGAGAGAGAGGTGCCAGCGGGGGTTGACTATAGCGGAGGAGGAAAGAATTGAAGATCTCCAAAGGAGCCGGAGAGAAGTAACCGAGGTATATATCCGTAGCTCGCTAATATGCAGCTTCATATATCTGTCTCTCTCACACTCACACACGCCACTATCAGCTGTGGTAATTTTATGAAGCTGTGGCCTTACCTGTCCAAGAGAAAACTGGCAACTTGAGCGTCACTTTGAAAACCTTTTTCCTCCGTCAGTGCCTTCCATCGTGTAAATGCCGTGCCAATGTTGATCCGTGTTTTTTGTCGTTTCTTGTCACGCTTGCGTTTATTCTCGTCGTGTTTCCGCTTCTTAGATGACGGGGGTTCGGTGTCCGCCGCTTTTCGTTGTGATACAGAGTAGGCATGATCCTCCATTCGTCTGATGTTTGGCAACACAGTGCCAAACAGTTTGCAAAGTCACTCACGCCTGCCGCCTTGATCACCTTTCTTGTTACTGAAGCGCAGTATACCTGCTTCTTCTTCTTCTTTGGTTTCAGGCAGACTAAACGCTTCTCAGGCATAATACTGCCATCTATTGTTCAGTACCGTCTCAGTTAATCTCTCAACTTGCCGTAGTTTCTTTCGAGCGTAATGGGCAATCTCGCAATCGCTAGTTTGTTGCTTCTGCGCTGCCGTAGCGCAAAGATGTCAGCCTCCATGGCTGCGAGACCCGCTCCTATGTAATTATAAATAACGAATTCTAAGGCAACGTAAATATTATGGTTAAAAGGCTGAGCTCATAGGTGATGATAAATAACATAGTTATGTATAATATATTCAATTTCTGACTTTATATCCCTGTAATTATTACACACTGTAGCTTTAAATAGGGATGCACGATATTGGGATTTTGGCCGATATCCGATATCCCGATATTTTAAAACTCATGTAGCCGATAACCGATATCAATACTGATGTTAAAGCTGGACAAAAATAAGTAGTCATTGAAAATAGCAGTTTTGTTATCCATTTCTGACACTTTGAAAAATAATATATTCAAATATATTTTCATATGCTGATATCAAATAGATTTTTAAAAACGCGGTATCGATCTATTTTACTTTCAAAATCTCGTGAAATTTCATCGTTCTGTTACAAACTCTCGTGATATTTTGCAAATTCTTGTGAGATTTTGTTAGTAAAATAGATTGATACCGCGTCAATATATCAACATATAAAAATATGGCAAAATTTTGTGAATTTTCGGGGGGATTTCGTAGCATAACGATGACATATAGCAATATTTCATTAGTAAAAGAGATTGATATGGTGTTTTTAAATGGCAATATATCAGCATATGAAGATATTGGGATATTTTAATGTATCAATATTTTTTCCCTCGTCTTTAGAAGTTTTTAAGTCTGTAAAAAAGAAGCTGATCAAATATCGGGTTAAATATCGGTGGGGTGGCCGATGTCCGATATTCAGTTTTAAGGCCGATACCGATAGGGGGCCGATTATATCGTGCATCGCTAGTTTTAAAGGCTTCAAACAATTAGAAAGCACATCACTCATTTCATTCATCCTTTATTAATTAGTTTATTCTTTAGGGATTTAGTGAACGTTTGGCAGTTCTCTTATAATTTGGATACTAACTCCCCCTTTCAGCCCATTTTTTTGAGATTTCCAGACTCTTAATAGGAGTTTGTGCTAATATTACTAACTTAATGTTTGCAACATATTATTTCTCTTTTTTTTATTTTGTGGAAGCCTTTGTGTTGAAACTTAGAGTTTAATATGCTAATGTTGACTCTCTCTATAATCTCTTTCTTCAGCTCCAGGTGGGCCGACGTTCACGATTGGGAAATCAGTGTGGCTGCTGTGGGGGATCGTCTTCAACAACTCGGTCCCCATTGAAAACCCCAAAGGAACCACCAGTAAAATTATGGTCCTAGTCTGGGCCTTCTTTGCTGTCATCTTCCTGGCTTCTTACACGGCCAATCTAGCTGCTTTCATGATACAGGAACAATATATCGACACCGTGTCTGGCCTTTCCGACAAGAAGGTAAGGCAGTGAACAAACAAGAGTTCAATAGTAGTGATTAGGAGGTTGGCAGTGATGCAACTGGGCTGTTTTTTTGTGGCGCTCGGAGATACAGCAGTTCGTTGAGGTGCATCATGTCCTCTTTATGGTGTTTATAATTCATCGACTAACAGACCATAAACACAACAGAGACAAACGATTCAAAGGAAGTCGCTGAGATGGAAACCAGCAAAGGATTTTGTGGTGAAAGCATCTGTCCTTTCCCTATCAGCGGGGAGCCCAGCGGTGTGAATGACTAATCAATTACTGCCGTCTGTCCGTTCGGATGCTTTCTGAGTCTTAACTTGTTCTGTCCATCGATATTCCTGCTGTGTGCTCTCTATCTCCAACACTCTCCCACGCCGCTGGAACAAGATAGCAAAATGTCAAATGATAAAAAAAATACATTGAAAAAACAACAATCCAGAAATAAGTAAAAATCTCTTAAATTAAGTGTATTTACCCTTAAATTGAGCAGGTAAAGGAGATAGTTTGCCAATGGAATGAGTATTTTTACTCTTAAAATAAGATAATCAGATAATATGCACTTGAAATAAAACAATGCAACTGTGTTTTTTTTTTATTCCATTGGCAAAATGTCTCTTTTACCTCCTGAATCCAAGAAAAAAATGCACTTTTTTTAAATGAAAAATGACTTTTATCTCCTTGTACTAAACCAAATAGAAGAGCAAGACCTGAAGTTGCTTCACCGCTGAAATGGTTTCACACAAATGCTCAAAATGGAAAATTCAGATGATAGATTAGCCATCAGCCATCTTTGATGTGAGGAGGTGGTTGGATAAGCTCATAGGGAAGGCTAACCCTGTCCCAGGCAGTGTTGCCAACTCAGCGACTTTGTCGCTATATTTAGCGACTTTTCAGACCCCTCCAGCGACTATTTTTCAAAAAAGCGACTAGAGACAAATCTGGCGACTTTTTACGGTGTCACTGGCGGCTTTTGGAGACTCTTACGTGAAAGCATGTATCGTTCCTACTCTTGTCCTCCGGCAGCTGCTGCCGTGGGGCGCCTCCCCCATCCCAACCCCGTTCTCCCACTCCCGCAGGAGTTCCTCTCAGCGCTGCTGTCAGTAGACTTGTGAGACCATCGTGATCTCGCGAGCTTTCAAGGTTTCACTCGCTAATCAGTCTGGAGACTCTCGGTTGAAGAAAATTTGGAGCCGTTCACCAAACGAACGTCCAATCAGCGTTGGCTTTGAGGCGGGTTGAGGTGTGACGCAACAAGAAGCGCAACAGTTCAGTCTAAAGAACATGAAACTAGCATTAGCGTGGCTATCGAGCAAGTTTTATGGGAATTACAGAGTATTTCTTCACTGAAAGAAGAGCAAAACACTGCTCTGGAGGCTTTTCTCAGAGGAAAAGATGTTTTTGCTCTTCTCCCGACTGGTTTCGGCAAGAGTTTGATCTATCAATTGGCTCCTCTTGTCGTCGCTCTGTTAGTACGTCATATGTTTCGTTGATCTGATTGGTTTATTTGGCCCGTCTATCACCAACATAGGCCAATCAGCTAACCAGTATTTTTGCCCCTTCCCAAAATTACTTCAACGGAAGGTTTCCAGATGGATATGCGGAGTAAATCCATCTGGCGGAGTCAGGTTAGCAGTCAGAGCCGCAGGATGTTTACCCTCAGCGTCCAGACTGCAAATGAAGCGCGCATGTGCCGGTATTGACGGCACAAATTGATCATGCAGTGCCGCTCCGCCCTGACTTACATTCAAGGCGGGAGCGAGCGGGATGTAAATGTAAAATGTTATTTGGTCTAAAATAAATAACTGAATTTGAAATATTTTATCTTAAATAAATAACAGCATTTGATTCACACAGCCACAGTCAGTCACTTAATCACCTTGTCCATTGTGTTTTCCTCTCTAAGATTAACATTGATCTGCTGGTGAGAATCATTATGTCTCAGTCTAAACTGTACAGTCAAAAATACAGAAAAGAGTGGGAATTAAACCCTGAATTCAAAGGCTGGTTGAAGCAGTTTATTGGAGATGATACACGGGCAATACTGCTTCTATGCCAAACTTTTAAATAAATAAACATCAATGGACAGAAAAAAACTAGCTCTAGATATTGTTTAGTAAAGTAAGTAAAAACAGTATTATATAGTGTTTTTACTTACTTTTTGTCTTCCTGTAACGACATTATTTCTCCCACAGCATCAATAACATGCACATCACTTCCTGTGGCCGATTATGCAAATTAGGCGATGACGTATTTAGCGACTTTTAGCGACTTTTAGCACAGCAAATAGCTACTTTCCTTACTGAGGAGTTGGCAACACTGGTCCCAGGATGTTCTAACGGACTGTTAAAAAACAACTTTATGGTTGGATAATGTGTCCCACCACATGCATGAAGCAGGAAAGCTCAGTAACCGTTTCGTGATAGATGCACAAAGTTGCGCTTCCACAGATCCTTCCTTTCTGCTGTTGTTACACAATCACCATACAGTTCAACTAAGTTAAAAATCCCTTTTTTCATTTGGTTTTTCGCCTTCAGCCTGAAATGTTTCCCTCTGATCTGTGTGCTTTGGACCTACCGTAACATTGAGTTCCATCTAATGAGTGATTATATACATTAACAGCCATACTCAGTCATATGGCCTCATGATGGGATCCATTCGATTAGCTCTGCTCCAAAGGTCACTGCGGTCGCTAAGATGAATAGATGGGTTTTGTTTACGGTCTCACTGAGCTCCAGCAAACATTTCCGTCCCGCCGAATGCCATGAAGTGTGAAGGTTAGGATCCCGACTGGATAAACTACAAGCTCCACGGTTGTTTAAACAAACATGATTTGCTATTAATTAAGCCGTTTTTAAAATCATGTGGAAGCATATTGTTCCTATTTGTGAGATAAAATATTTTGAGTTTGCCTTCTCTCTTTCTAAATAGGGTGATTGTTTAGAGGTGTTGTACCAGTCTGTGTGCTGGAGTTTAGTTATGGAGGATGACAGAAAGCAGTTTCCTCCCTACTCTAGAACAGGGTGAAGGGAGATAAGAAGGAATTCATACAGCCTACTTCATCAGAATCAGAAATACTTTAATAATCCCAGAGGGAAATTACTTTTGTTATGCGCTCCAGTTACAGTTTTATACAATATATACACACATTCAACTATAAAATATAATAAAGATAAAAAATAAGAATAAAAAGAGATAAAATATATACACATATAGCTCTTCTGTATATATATCTGTACGTATATCTATGCATATGTAAAAACTAAATCCAAATAAAGTGAAAATCCAAGTAAAGTGATACGTGGCGTGCAAAAATAGTGCATAAATGTCAATTACGGGGGGGGCTGAATCACTTGAGGGAGGCGTTATATAGATTGATGACCACAGGTAGGAATGATTTTCTGTGGCGCTCTGTGGTGCATCTGGTAGGAGGAGTCTTCTGCTGAAGGAGCTCGTCTGCTGGACCAGTGTGTCTAAAATATCTGGCTAAAATTAAATTTATCAATTAATTGACAAATTTAAGTGTTTTTTTCTTGGGAATAACCAAATATTCAAGTGTGAGAAAGTTCTTTATGCAGGGGGTGGGTTGGTTCCCCTGGGGGGAGTGTGTGTTTTGGAATTTTTGTAAGATATAAATGTATATTCTGAACTTTGGCCAGTCAGAGCTCTATCTCTCCCTCTGAGGACGTTAAATAAATTTGAACATCAAGAAATGCGTCTGCCTCAGCTTCCTAACTCCACAATCGGCAAAATCAATTTAATGATGCTGATCTAACTTTTTCTTCTTCTTTAGTGTAGGTTTTTGGTGTTGAATCCTTTTGGTTAACTTCATCTCCTTTTGTTGCAAATTAACTTTTTTTTCCCCTTTTCTTTTTTTCCCATCTCTCTATAATAGATAATATTTTCTTCAAAATTTTTTTCAATTTGCCAAATTTATTGTAGGTTTTTCTAGTTACTTTTGCTTGCAGAGTTTATTTTATCATCTTCTTCTTCTTCTTCTTCGTTTTCTTTTCCTGTTTTATTAGATTTTTATTATTTACCCTTCTTCCTTTTCTCAGACACTCTTTTGCTGCTTATCACTTTTCCCCAGGGCCTGTGTTGGCCTGCCTCACTTTTATTAACTTTCCCAATCAATAATTTGTTCTTTTTTTATTCTCCTAATACCTTCACTCTGTCTCACTCCCTTAATTTTTATTTTTGTTTGCAAAAACTTGTTGACGTCTCACCTAAACGTAGTAGAAGCAAACAGGCCCCTTTGAAATAAAGCAGATGGATTAGTATTCAATACTACATGGCCACATAATAAGAATGTCTTTGGAACAAATTGATTTTTAAGCCAAAGATATCTCTTTTTTTTTTTTTTTTTCAATGTCAATTCTCAAGCATCGTATTTTATAGCTGGTTTAAAGAAAATATAAACATAAGTTCCTTCACAGCTGGTTGCTGAACTATTCATATCCCTTGTAATTTTTGACGTTTGCGACAAATTAACAATGTTTTCAGGTTATTTTATGCAAAAGCAAACACACAGCAATGTCTAGTAGAATTTGAAACAGGAAAAAAACAAAATTTTTATTTTTATTGGATTTGTTTTTACAAATAGAAATCTGTGCATGTTGGTTTGGGTGGAGCACAATTTTCAAGACTGAGACTAACAGAGTCAGGAAACAGTTTAGCAGCAATCAGATAACTGTAGTGACACAAAAACATATTTTTTAAATTTTAAAGAAAAGCACTTAGAGCAGCAAGTTGTTGAAGATTTAATGATCCAAACTGCACTTTCGGTCCATATAAAAGGGCATCATTAAGGCATCGATCTGTTGCAGCTGCAATCTTGACTGTTTATCATTATATATAAAAAAAACAAAAAACTGAAATGTTAGAACTGTAAATTAACAGTCAGATGTTCATATAACTGTTTTTGTATATTTTTTTTACTATTTTTGAAGGCTGTTCTAAACGAAATTTCTTTTTGTTTTACACTTGTGTTAACAAAATGACAAATCTGTCTAAGTCTAAAATTCTCAAACACCAACTGTCCTCTGAGATCAAAAACTTGTACTAAGGAATCTAGTAAAAAATCAAAAGCACAAACTGAGGCATAACCAGAAAATTTGAATAAGGGTGGCCAGGCAATAACCAATGAAGACTGAGGGGGGGCGAAAATAGATAGGCACCAGAACCTCAGGGTCAATCTCCACTGTTCCAACAGGAAAATTAACGAGCAAAACATCCATATTTTCTAAATAAAGACAAACTATACTTTCCTACAGCCTTTGCTGACAAATATAGTCAAATATTCATGCTTTCTAGATATAAGGTATAGTGGATAAAATCCTTTCAGGTTTGAGTTCTGGGCGAACATCTTTTCCATTGTCATTACTTACCTACTTTTATCAGTAATTATTCTGCATAAAGTTGAATAAATATCTTTAATGTTGGGATATTGATGTGCATAATTAACCACAGTGTTTTTCTTGTAAAGTAATTGTTAATGTATGAAAAATTGAAATGCTTTGAATATTTCACTTGAGAGTATTATTGTTGCCACCGTCTCTATTAGAGTGAAAAAGATGGCCAATGAATGGTTAAGGGTGGCCCCCCCTGGCCCCCCATCTAGCTCTGCCCTTGCTCCCCAATAGTTGGGCTGAGCCTTGTATAGAGAAGAAGGAGCAGGTGGATAATATTAATGATAATTAGTGACCGGGGAGGGTTCGGCAGGTGAGTGAAGCGAGCAATTAGCTATCAACTTAACGAACACGACAGTTAGCTGGAGTATAGAGACTAAAACATACCTTTAGCTGACAGATCGACCCAATCAGAGCAGGAATTATAAGAAATCTGTAAAAATATAAATTAATATTTTGCTTTTAAAACTAAAAAACCTTTTTCATCTATCAAATGTTTTAGTTTGACCTGGTTTCATTCTGTAAAAAATCTTCTTTAAGGAACATTTGGCTATCCGATTATTATTTGAAAAAAAATCAACAGATTAATTTATTTGCTAAATAATCATTAGTTGCAGGCCTAGTTTGAGAAATTGAGTAAAAGAACAAAATAAAAGAGAAGAATGCTTCTGTTTCACTGTAATTATTTAGAAAATAGATATTTAAATGTGAAAGACTTTTTTTAATCAAGCTACACACACACACACACATATATATATATATATATATATATATATATATATATATATATATATATATATATATATATATATATATATATATATATATATATATATAATATTTTTTGATCATTACGTTTTTTTTTAGGGATGCACGATATTGGGATTTTGACCGATATCCGATATGCCGATATTTTAAAACTCATGTAGCCGATATCGATACCGATGTTAAAGCTGGACAAAAATAAGTAGTCATTGAAAATAGCAGTTTTGTTATCCATTTCTGACACTTTGAAAAATAATATACTCAAATATATTTTCATATGCTGATATCAAATTGATTTTTAAAAACGCGGTATCGATCTATTTTACTTTCAAAATCTCATGAAATTTCATCGTTCTGTTACAAATTCTCGTGATATTTTGCAAATTCTTGTGAGATTTTGTTAGTAAAATAGATCGATGCCGCGTCAATATATCAACATATAAAAATATGGCAAAATGTCATGGATTTTCGGGGGATTTCGTAGCATAACGATGACATATAGCAATATTTCATTAGTAAAAGAGATTGATATGGTGTTTTTAAATGGCAATATATCAGCATATGAAGATATTGGGATATTTTAATGTATCAATATTTTTTCCCTCGTCTTTAGAAGTTTTTAAGTCTGTAAAAAATAAGTTTTTGAGGAAGAAGAAGAAGTAGTATTTTATTTTTTTTTTAGACTTTAGAAACTCAGAAGCTGATCAAATATCGGGTTAAATATCGGTGGGGTGGCCGATGTCCGATATTCAGTTTTAAGGCCGATACCGATAGGGGGCCGATTATGTCGTGCATCCCTAGTTTTTTTTTTTTATTTAATTTCATTGTATTTATATTTTTCTGTAAATAATCCTGAGTGTTTTTTCATAATGAAAGATAAGGAAATGAAAAAATGTGTGTGAAGTATAGAAATTTTAAAAGATAAATGACTGGAATGCATTACTGTGTGTTTGTCCTTCCACTGTGACTCTGATAAAATACGCTAATGTTTTTAAATCATTCCAGAACTTCAGTTGTTTTTTTAACTCTCCTCTCATCAGCTGTGTCTCTTCAGTTTCAGAAACCGCAGGAGCATTATCCTCCTTTTCGCTTCGGGACGGTTCCAAACGGGAGCACTGAGAGGAACATCCGCAGCAACTATCCTGACATGCACACACACATGATGAAATACAACCAGAAGGGAGTAGAAGAAGCTCTGGAGAGTCTCAAAACCGGGTAAAGATATGTTCACGTTATGAGAACAGCTGTTTCCTGCAAGCTATATTTAACTGATATTTGTGACAGAAAAGTTGTCAGATGACAAAATGATCAAAATTTCGGTGACACGGCAAAGATTTGATGCTCTTTGTTTTTTGCGATCTATTTTGGTAGCAGGCCAGTGTGATGCCTGTATTTTTAGATGCAGTCAAATCTGTTGTTATCAGTTGGCAGAATATGAAAAGCATTGTCAGAAACGTGACATTTTATGTCATCTCGAAGAAAACTACTTTGGATTTTAGAGTCTTTGAAGATGCTTTCTTGACAACAATATGCATAGTTTATTTTTTTATTTATTATTTCCTATGATAGAACCAGAAAGTTTCCTGTATGTAAAGCCTTTGATGTAAACATCCACTCTCTAAAATGTTGGACACGCCGTCCTGGGAGAGAAAAATTGCTTTTATTGTTGTACAGGTAAACAGTTTTCTAAGAGAAAAGATACAAAGTCAAACCAAAAACAAAAAAATAATAAGATTGATGCAAGTACACTGCAAAAACTATCTAGAAATAATTAAAAAATTTCTTAAATTAAGTGTTTTCACCCTTACTTTGAGCAGGTAAATGAGATAGTTTGTCAATGGAATGAGTATTTTTACTCTTAAAATAAGATAATTAGATAATATGCACTTGAAAAAAGACAATGCAATTGTGTTTTCTTATTTTAAGTATAAATTGTCTTGTTCCATTGGCAAAATGTCTCTTTAATCTCCTCAATTCAAGAACAAATGAACTTATTTTAAGAAAAAATGACTTACAGTATCTAGATTCAGTTTTTTTACAGTGTAGTTTTTTCTCCTCGCTGGCACGGAATGGCTTGAAATAATCTGGCACTGAAGTCTGGTCTGAAGGCAAGTTAAATAGTGATCAGAGATGGCAAAAGTACTCACTTTCCGTACTTGAGTAAAAGTACAGATACTTGTGTTAAAAAATACTCTGGTAAAAGTGGAAGTACTGATTAAACTTCTTTACTCAAGTAAAAGTAACAAAGTACAGGCTTGTAAATTTACTTAAAGTATAAAAGTAAAAGTAGAAACCACTTTTTTCATGCCGTTGCCTACATTTTAAATGGATGTCTGCCAATAGGACTAGATCTCCGTTGTGTTCATTTTCAATCATCTCGTCGTCCATGCTACTATGCTAACGCCACCGCCACCAAGCTGCAATGATTTGCCGCCAATGAATACCGCCGAATCTGTCGATTCATCTTGTAGGGGTGCGTCAAATGCAACGTAGATTCCCATCCAATTAGATTGAATTTGGTATTGATGACGTGAAAAATAATAATGGTAACTCCATTGAAATGATTCAAAACTAAAGTAAAGAGCCAATTTTTTTTAAATGTAAGGAGCAGAAAGTACAGATATTTGTGTAAAAATGTAAGGAGTAGAAGTAAAAAGTCGCCATAAAAATAAGTAGTAAAGTAAAGTAAAAATATCAGAAAAAACTACTTGAGTTCGTTACTTCCCATCTCTGATAGTGATAGATGGACATGGATCAAATGAGTAGTAACGAGAATAGGAGGGAGCTGTGCAAGTGTGTCTTGTGAGTAATCAGACCAGCATCACACCACAAAGTCACGCAAAAAAAAACATTTTTTTGATCATTTATATCTTTCCTCAGCATATAAGAACTATATTTGATCTACTTTCTCTAGGAAGCTTGATGCCTTCATCTACGATGCTGCTGTTTTGAATTACATGGCCGGAAAAGACGAGGGCTGCAAGTTGGTTACCATCGGCAGTGGGAAAGTGTTTGCCACCACAGGATATGGCATCGCTCTGGAGAAAAACTCCCGCTGGAAACGGCCAATTGACTTGGCTTTGCTTCAGTTTCTAGGAGACGGTAAGCTCTATTTTTTTTAAGCATTAGAGAATTGAAACTAAAAAAATTCCAGACCCCATTCAGATTCCCATTTTTAGACTGAGCTGGTCACCTTGCTTTCCATGTGAAGGGTTTGTCCACTTAAAAAAATCCTTCTGGTCAAGGATTTGCATTTTTGAAATGAGTTAGACGTAAAAAGTTACCAAATGGACAAATTGGAGGCTTTTATGCAATATGTCAAATCTTGTCTGTTTAACACAGTTCTTGATGTTTTCCTCTATATCTTATTCATTCATCCCTGTGGGCCGTAGGCCTATTTCATGGCAAATATGCTGCGACTTCCAAGTCTCAAACCATAAGGAAGTTCTGCTTAAATTCTCTACTGTTCTGTATATATAATCTCTCCGCAGCCTTTGATACAGTCGACCATGCAATCCTTGTATCTCGCCTAGAGCACATCGGCATCTGTAGCGCCGCTCTCCAGTGGTTTAGGTCATACCTGGCAAACAGGAGTTTCTCTGTCGTGATTGGTGACCACTGCTCCTCAAAGGCATCGCTGCCCTGTGGGGTGCCACAGGGATCTATTCTCGGCCCTATTTTGTTTTCTTTATATATGCTACCTCTGGGTTCATCTATAAAAAAACATAACCTGTCTTTTCACTTATATGCCGACGACTTGCAGATATATTTACCCTTGAAACCAAACGAAAAAACTGCATTCACTAAGCTACTGGACTGCATCACAGATATAAAGCAGTGGCTGTCACAGAACTTTTTGCACTTAAACGACAGCAAAACTGAATGCATTTTGTTTGGTTGTCCATCAATTTCAAATGTTCTCGCCACACACTCAAGCAATCTAGCCCCTTTTTTTAAATGCCATGTCAAAAATCTCGGGGTAACATTTGATAATGGGCTCAAATTTGACAAACAGATTAGCTCCGTTGTCAGCTCGAGCTTTTTCCAGCTCCGTCTTTTGGCCAAAGTCAAGTCTTTTCTCAGTCGGCAGGATCTTGAGAAGGCAATCCATGCTTTCATTAGTTCAAGACTGGACTACTGCAATGCCCTTTACGTTGGCCTCAGTCAGTCAACAATTTCTCGTCTCCAACTGGTGCAGAACGCTGCTGCCTGATTTTTAACAAACACATCCAGACGTGAACACATTACTCCTGTGCTGTCGTCACTCCACTGGCTTCCAGTCCGTTTTAGAATTGATTTTAAACTTCTGATGTTTGTTTTTAACGCCATCCATGGCTTTTTCCCCTCTTACTTGTCTGAGATTTTACCTTTCCGCAATTGTGGCAGAGCTTTACGCTCCTCGGCTCAGCTTCTGCTAGAGGTCCCTAGGTCAAGACTCAAACAGTGGGGCGATGGTTCTTTTGCCGTCGCTGCTCCCAGACTGTGGAACAAACTACCTCCTGACATCCGCACCACTACTGACCTCAGCCTTTTTAAAAAAAAGCTTAAAACCCACTTTTTTAATTTAGCATTTAATTCTGACTATAATACTGTCTCTTAGGCTACGTTCACACTGCAGCCTGAAGTGACCCAATTCCGATTTTTTTGCCCATATGTGACCTGTATCAGATCTTTTTATGACAGTCTGAACGACACAGATCGGATTTTTTCAAATGCGACCCAGGCCACTTGGATATGTGGTCCTGAATCCTATACGTATCTGATCTTTTCAAATGCGACCTGTGTCTGTACGGCCAGGTCGCATTCATCCGACCTACACGTCATTGATACTTGACAAATGTTACTAAACGTTACTAATCTGCGTCCTACTAAGCGGAGGCGGGGAAAAACTAACAACCATGGCAGAAGATAACACAGAGAGCAGTCAATGGAGAGAAAGTGAGGTTGCTGACTTAATTCATATTTGGAAAGATAGCTCGATTCAGACCAAACTTGAAGGGTCTTACCGGAACCGGGCTCTCTTTCTTTTTGATCTTCTTAAAAAGATTTCGTTCGTAATGTGCCTGCTCCTGTTGGAGAAGAACTTAAAGAACGCAATATACGCTGCGGTATTACGAGTCATGTTTACTTCCGCAAACACTGAGGACGCTTGCTACATGTGACGTCATCGCGTCCTCGAGTGCGCATGCGGGACACTTCGGTTGAACGCTTTCAGTTCACACAGTAGATCACATACAAGTCGCATATACTTAGAAGTGTGATCGGACACGCAAAAAAATCCGATTTCACAAAAAAAATCGGAATTGAGCATTAAGGCCTGCAGTGTGAACGTAGCCTAAGATGTCCTCTTTCTGTGTGCTCCTTTCTATGCACCTTTGGAAGGCTTTTAATGTCTTGCAGCGCTGCACACTACAGCACTTTTAATTGTATCTGTATGTTTTATATGTGTCATGTATTGTTTTTATGGCTTTGTTGTAAAGCACTTTGGGTTCCATTTAGCTATTGTAAAGTGCTATACAACTAAATTTGATTTGATTTGATAATGATGCCCAGGTCACCAGTAGAATGGGGTGTTTCTATTCTTTCTTAGTAATGTTTAAAGAAAATTTCAAGGGTTTATTATATCTGGTCAGTTGTGCCAGTTTGCTGCTGCCAGTGTTAGCTGCCAAAACAGCCCTGATCAATTTTAGGCATTTATCCACTAGAGACCTCGTTGTGATGTATGGCCCCAAGGCTTTAGCAGATGATCCCTGACACTCATCAGGTCTCAAGGGGAAGCCTCAGCAGGTCACACTTTTTTGTCTGGCATGCTCCTCGGATGCTTCATTGAACTGAGATTGAGGGAATGTGACGACCAAGCCGATATCTCAAGCTCATTATTTTTCTCCTTGTAGGATTTTCTTTGTTACTTTTTGTCCTTTGTTGCTTTTTTATGCTGAGATAGACCAATTCCATGGTCTGTATAAAACACTTTTATTTGCATGTTTTCTAAGCCTTTTTTGTTTACTCTATAAAGCCTTGAACTCAACAATATTTCTGACATTTTGAATTGAAGAAGCTTCCTGGATGGAAAGCGAAATATCACAAATGTCAAATCTTTCTGGCTTAAACGTCTATGTAAATATACTCTTTATCAGACGATTTTGTCCCAAAATGTGGAAAATTTCTATTTAAAAAAAATCCTGCCTAAAATCTGTGGGGTTTTTTCAGTTAGTTTATGCAGGCCAGTTAGTTCTACGTCAGCCTGAACACCTAAATTTGGCCAATCATATATCAACAGTCATCTGTCAATCAAATGTTTTCAGTCATAGCATCTTGATTCATGTGTCGCAGCTAATATACGCAACGGTTGAAATCAGAATCCTTTCCTTTCCCATTGAGTTGCGTCCCAGTGTTCACGGGGATGGACGTCTGTGTCTTCGGCAGGCGTAGAGCTAACAGAACTGGCAGCGTTGCGAGGCAAGGGCTCAAACATGTACGGCTGGAAGCCTTCTACACCAAACCAAGCTTCTGCCGCCCTGGCGTCCTCTTCCACAACATCTTCGTCCCCGCTTTCCTCCTCTAAATAAAAAATGGATGACGGAGGAGACTCATCCACGACCTCCGACACTAAACTCTCCTCCTCTTGCATGTTTCCGCTGTCCATAGCGTTCCTTGACAGCGTCGTTTCTAAGTCACCAATTTAGTGCTACTTGGTCCCAATGGAATTTCCCATTGGGAACCTGCTAGCACTAAGTTGCTAACTGGTTAGCAAGATGCTTCCGATAAACCGGTCACAATCAAATAGCTTGCAAACCTTCTGCCACAACAATCCTGCCCCTCGTGTAAAGTCGTGCACCACTCGGGAGAATTCGGAAATGCAACGGTTGGAACAGCCGCTTCCCTACGACTTAACTTTTTTGGAATGACTTTGACCTGCATGACTAAGAATCTTCACCAGCACTTGGCTAGATCGTGCATCGGAGATGACATCCATGTCAGTATAAGGAACCAAATTTCATCGCTGATGCTAATCTTTCCATCGATACTTTATTGTAATTAGCTGAAGATTTCTATTAAAGATACTTTGCTTCAATGGTATACCATATAGTTATCTGACATTAAAGCTAATAGATGCACTCATGCTTCTTATGTAAAGTTTCACACCTCTAGTTGATAAAGGTTCCTGAACTCCTGGCATCAGTTCCCATTAAGTACTACTGGATTTGCAGTGATTTTGACTTAATTAGAAGATTAATATCTTAAAAACAGCAGGGAGGGGCCACTGGTTTCCTCCATCATAAGCATCCACAGAACCTACATTCAGAAATAACCAAGCCACTATGGCTGCTGGTTCTTCATCTTCTTTCTCCACTCAGAGAATCATCTGGAAAGAGGTATTTCCACCAAATCCATCAAAGTGCAGATATATTGCAATAAAAAGGAAACATCTGCCTGTTTCCAGTGGATTGATGAGGTTAAAACCATCCCTGATCTGTTTGTTTACCCTGCATTCTAATGAACCAGTGAGGCCCTCACAGGGCAGCTATATTCGAAAGCTAAGGTTTAATGGATGTTTATTAAGGATTAGGTGACTTATGAAGTCTGATGCTTCGATTCAATTTTATTTCGGAATATTAAATTAACACATTGCAGAGAACTGCCCTTACAGTGGATATAATCCTAAAATAAATTTTCATTCACAGATATTACTGTGTTTAAAACTACATCTCTACATGAAATCAGCCTTTTTTGGAGGAGAAACTGCATCTATAAAACTCTCTTTTTGGATCGAATAAAATCAGGGAAACATTTATTAACTTTACTTATTTACCGACAACATGTAGTTGCTATCACTGTAGTAAAACAATCTGTTATTTAATAGCATTTTAAGAAAAGCATTAAAGAAGTGGGTAATAACTGCATTTTAATGGCTGGTTTGAAAGCCACCCAGATTGTGAAAGGCCAAAATCGTGGTGAGTAAACGGATTGCAGTTATAATTACCCAACTAAGAATATTTCACTGGTTTTACCCTTGATTTTGAATAATTTATCAATTAACTACAATTCCCAGTCCTGGGTTAGTATATATTCATAATCTACAGGTAAAATATCACAACAGTGACGATATTTATTTTTCAAGAGCAAAGTTTTAAATTCCCTTGAATTATAAAGCAGAATACGTTTTATTATTAAAGTATCTGGTTTATAATAATATGCCAGAAAAAGGCAGTTTCTAATTGAGAAGTAGAAAAACATTGGAGCATTTAAACAGCTTGTTTAAATGAAATAAATATGGTGGTAGTTGTATTTTTACTCAGAAAGCCGAAACCTTTACAAAAATAGTGCCGCCCAATGATGAGTAAAATGATCTTTGATTTAGTCTAAGCAACTTAAAAATGATGGTTTAATTTCATGCATATCAAAGCAGACACGGTACCCATGACAACTCTGGATGAGCTGCAGAGATCCCCGTCTCATGCAGGTGGTTCTGGTTCTTTAAAAATAAATATTTGCTCTGTAATCCACTTATCAAGAGGGGAAAAATAAATTTATTGTTTAAGGAAAGTTTAAGAAACATACATGTTGGTTGCCAGGTTGATGAGAGTGGTTTGAGGACAGGGGCAGATTTACCATTTTGCAATACTAGGCTGTTGCCTAGGGCCCCAAGTTCCTGGGGGCCCCTTAAAACTCTGTTTCCATGTATGGTTAATATAACTATTCCTTATTTCTGCACATTATTATGTTTTTGATAAAAATCCTTTCGCTAAAATGTCATCAGAACGCTGATAATATTAAGTGTGTCTCAGCCCCCCCCTTCAGCGTCCACCATATTGGATCAGTCCATTTGCTGCACATGTTCAGAAAGGTCCAAACAGACAGCAGCAAACCATTTGAAAACAAACCATGCAAAGAGCAGTGTTGCCAACTTAGCGCTTTAGTCGCTATATTTAGCCACTTTTCAGACCCCTCTAGCACTTTGATTTCTAAAAAGCTCCTAGCGTCAAATCTAGAGACTTTTTTCTGCTACTGGAGACTTTGGAGACAACATCTAAAAGCAGGGAACTCTGCTCTCCAGAGCGAGTAGATTGGTAACCCCGCCTCCTGCTCTCCTCTATCTTGTCTGCTGTCATGATTCATGCAGCTATTATTTCATCCAAATGAAAAATGGAGAACAGATAAGCAGATCATGGCTTGTCTACAGTGAAAAGAAGGACTGGGTTATTTACTTTGGCCTTTTTGGAAACACAGGAAGGAGCAATCAGCTAAGTGAGCTTAGTGCTTGGAAAAAATCTTTCATTCCTTTAGAGACAGCATGAAAAGTCAGCTGAGTACAAAACATAGAGAGGAAAACAAGAAGAAAAGGGACAAGAAGAGAGGGACACAACCTAGAACAGATAATGGATGTCTATTCTATTAAAATTTCTCTATCTATATAATTGGTCTGTTTTATGTGTTGTCTTCTCAATTTCCTAAATCCGCCCCTGTGGAGAAAAAACTAACTGTACTGACTTACACAGTGAACTCATGATATTGTGAAAAATCATATTAAAAATCATGACAGCAGGCCTTTCTTACCCTCTCTATCAAAATATTGTTTTGTTTTTAACTTATTTATCATTTTGGTTTTGTACTTATATATATCTTTTAAGTCAGGAGACTTGACCAAGGCCCTTTACACACATTCAGTTATTCACCATTTCTCGCAGACACTGATGCTGGCAAGCTTCATTGTAGCAGCTGCCCTGGGGATCACTGGCAGAAGCCAGGCTGTTGTACACAAGTGTCATCAGGATCTCTGACCACCATAAGTAGGCAATGTTGGTGAAGTGTCTTGCCCAAGGACACAATGCCATTAACAGTTATGGCTTTCAATGTTGTATATTGAACACACAACCCTTTGGTTGCGGGGCAGGCTCCTGCATCTGAAACCACTGTTTTACAGTATTTAAAGATTTCTATGCTAAGAACGGATGGTCCGGGCCCCAAACTAATGAGCAATCATCTGCTGACTAATATATTGTATCTGGCTTTGACAGATCACAACGATGATGAAATCTTGTGATGAGCATCTTATCTTCATCATTTCCCTTTGCAAGTTTTGATTCCTTTTTTCCCCTCTCATTTATAAATCTTTAGGAGATACGGAACGTCTGGAGACGGTCTGGCTTTCTGGAATTTGCCAAAACGAGAAAAACGAAGTGATGAGCAGCAAGTTGGACATTGATAACATGGCAGGTGTCTTCTACATGCTTCTGGTTGCTATGGGCCTCAGCCTGCTCGTGTTTGCCTGGGAACATCTGCTCTATTGGAAACTACGCCACTCTCTCCACAAGTCTCATAAACTGGACTTCCTGTTGGCTATCAGCAGGGTAAGGATTTTGTAAAATCCTAGGTTTATTTTTACACTAGACTCCATGGACTGAAATAATCTGTGTCTAATTTACAGATCTGACTTCTTTTTCATAACCAACATTTTCTTTGCTTGTCTTTAACATACCAGGGTATTTACAGTTGTTTTAAAGGAGTAGAAGATCCTGGGCGTTCATCTGGATTGGCCAAACCTGACCTGACCTCCAACTATGCTCAAGCAAACATGCTAAAGATGCTTCGCACCGCCAAAGACCTGGTCTCCACCGCTAATGTTGAGAGCTCCCTGGACAACGCTACCAAGACAATAGAGCAGTTGACCCGTCATGGAGGAAGTATGCCTGTTCGCGTTCCACAAGTCACCACTGAGTCTGTGCCGGGAGGCTTTGCTTATGTTGCTGAAAATCACTGTCCCATTCCTCAAGGGTCCCTTACTCCACCTCTAACTTGCGTTACCTCTCTGAAACAACACAGGGGTGTAACTAGGCCAACACCACTGCGCTACACACTTCCAACTCGTTCAACATCATGTCTATATGAGAGACCGCTTCCTGTGTCAAGCTTGAGTACGCCCCATCTTGCCCTAGGGGAGTCGCTCCCTCATCAGCACCCACACCACTACCAGACTACAGGGAGGGTCTATGTAGACTCTCATTGTCACTCCCCTTTCATTGCCTACTCTGATCTCCAGCTGCCTGACATTTACACATCTCACCCACTTGCCTCATCTCAAAACCAACATGTCCAAATGGGCTTCTCCCAACCGAAAAGGAGGGCCAGGAGTTTTCAATGTGACAATGAGGATGTAGAAAGAAGAACCCATGGGGATCAGGGAAAGATTGACAAAAGTACTATCAGTCTGACTGAACTTAAAGCCAATCACCTCCAGGAGAACCATATCTCTAACCCAAGCGTTGACAATGTTTACTCAGGAGAGGGGATATGTCCCCGGGTGGAGAATTACAGCTCTTGGCCTCCAGAAGACCTTGCGCAGAGAGGGAGGCGGAGACACCGGCGCCCCTCATTTCTTAAAGCAACTTGGGGCAATGACCAAATTCGTCAGTTTGACGAATCGCAGTCTTCTCTATCCAGCCAATCACCTTCAACCTTGCCCGACCTGTTTCCTTACAATGTTACTCCTACATCTGCCAAGCCTTATAATCCCGTCCATGTTCGAAACAACCTGTGCCTCCCAAGGAACCAGGCCTACCTCCACATAAGGGAGGACCAGAGGAGGCCGAATGGACGCAAGGGCCAGAGACTGCGCTATTCCCAATCCACCCACCTCCCCACATATGGAGAAGCAGTGCGGAATGGTAATGGATTAGGGCGGGGTATGGTGCGCAGAGCAACAAGCTTGCTCAGTCGACAGTACTCGCACTATCTGAACTCATACCCTGGCCTCCCAATCTACCACAGCCCACTGGATCTCCAGCACCACAGCCATAGTTCCAGTCCGGTGTGTCAGTTGTTGGCCTGTGGTGGTGGGCGATGTGGGGGTCAGCGAAGCTTGCTGCATCAAGACAATGTGTATGGAGCTTATGGGGTCTATCAGGCAACCCAGGCTGGCTCAGAGGGCCAGGTGGGGCAAGGTGGAGCAGGCCAACCTGTTGGGAGTCCTTGCGTACTTCGGCCTTGGCGACGTGTTTCCAGTCTAGAATCTGAAGTCTGACTGGAAACCTTGAAAGACAGAAACTGTAGAGAGACCAGAAGTCAAGAATAATACATGTAACAACTTCAGAGAGTTTTCTGTTGTTAGATTTGGAGTTATATTGATTTTAATGGTGTCTTTGTGTGGTAAAGAATTGTAATTTGGGTCAGACACTAGAAACAGACTGCACTTTTAACACTCTTTCATTGATAAAGTTGAGGTCCATGTTACCGGCACAGCGTTAACCAGTGATTTAAGGCTGTATTTGTGTTGAACAGTTTCTCTGTTGACGGCTGGAGTTTAAGTATAACTGTTCAGTAGACAAACTGTTTACATCTTGAAAGAAAGGTTGGATAAGCAGCCATCATTGGTTTGCCAGACATTCAAAAACAGTTGTTAAGTAGATGCAAAGTGATTATTTCTAACATGATGTAATCAGTTCGTAACGATGAGTCCCAGGAAGCAGACGCTTTGTGAAAGCAGTCCATATCTGTGCAGTCTGCAAAAAGGATTGCGCCTTTAGAAGCATTGACCAGCACTAGGTGTCTTAAACCATCATCCTCACCGTATTGTGAGAGGCTGCAGCAGCACACAGGCCTCACTTTGAATAAATATGTATTCTAAGTACTATAAACTAATAGTCGAATGTGTTATTTGAGGCTGGTTATTGTTATATTCATGTATTCTACATATAATAGGAGTTTATAATCATTCTTTTTTTCTAAATACATCTCTGGCACTTTCATTTTTTTCTGTTTAAACTGCTGTCAGATTATGAACACTTTTGGTACTATTTTATTATCATCATCAGTTAGCAGATGATCTCTTTCCATTTTTCAACTCTTTTATATTCTGTCCTCATCCCCCTTTTTACCACCCCCTTCAAGATGTTTAATTATCTAAATAAATGAGGTAAGTGACAACTATTATAGTATCTATATACCAGGCTCCTACACCCTGTAATTAATCCCAAACAACAATTAAAGAGTCTTTTTGGATGAACATAAACGTGTCTTTTTTTTTAAGAGCCTTGGCTTCAATTCCATGTGAATTATAAGAAATTTGTTTTTCTTTTTTTATTAGGTAGTTAAATAAAATACTGGGATAATTATTGTTTTTGTATGGTTTCTCAATAGGTTCCTTCAACGGTTTGGAAACAATCTCCAGTGAAATTTGAATCTGATTTGAAGTGAAATCAAAAACAAGACATGCAGAAATGTTACAAAAGAATGCAAGGACATTAGTAAAGGTCTTGCATTAAAGAAAAAAAATATGTTAAGACAGTTCTGAGGTTGAATTTATTTTTTTCTGGCTTTAGAGAGTAAAACCGTTAACATTCAATACAAAGTTTGAGTAGATTGTGGAGCTTAATAATTATTTGTACATGTCTTTAAAAGAGGAGAGAATCTGGGAAACATTAATGGAAGACGAAAAGCAAAAAAAAATAAAATAAAAACTACAGGAGCTGTTGGTAAACCCTTCGTGTTGGACAAAAAAAAAAGAGGTGTTAGAACCACCCCTGCAAACGTCTCACCATGTTTCTGCTGTAATGATCAGAACAGATGGACCCTGAACTCAAACCAGTTTGAAAGCTGAACACAGTTTATTGAAACAAAACTTCTGCAAGTGGTGTCAGCGACTCGGGCTATAACCTTTGGAAATGGAGACAGAAGATTAGTGACCAGGTTAACTTTACAATATATCAATCACAAATGTAATTGTCAGTAACCTTCTCTTTGTCTTCAGTCTGGGATGAACCAGGAGGGTAGGTTCAAGACGGTTGACAGAAGTTCTGGTGTTGCTGTCACTAGTCAGGAAGTCCCAGAGAATAACTCCAGCCAACTTCCGATGATCCGTGGTCAGGCAGAGGGTCAGAACCGTGAAGGCAATAGTAGGCAGGGGGAACAGGAGGTCAAACCAGAATCTGTAGTTGGGGGTGAAGTCCAGGGTCAGAGCCATGTGATCAAAAGTCCAATGAAGCACCACAGCGAAATCTAGGATGAGTCGAGAAACAGTTCAAGGTTTGTCAACTGGGAGGCAGACAAACACATCAGGGTCAGGCAGAACCGGTAGGAAGGCAAAGATAAGGCAGGCTCAGAAACCGAGAGGCAGAAACAAGTCAGGAGTCAGGAATCAAGAATGAACGCTGGAATGTCTTATCGAATGGCTCATAATAATCTGGCACTGGTGTCTGACCAGCATCAGTGCTGAGATCTAGACATCTGCACCACATTACAATGCTCATCAGAGAAGTTCAAAAAATTCCAAATTAGTCTGCTAATAAGGATTTAGAAATTATTTAAACCACATTTTTGCTCGAGTATTTAATTCTGTTGAAGAGCCTTACAGCAGTGAGACGATGTTTGTTTATGTTAGTTAGAGATCATGGCTGATTTCCATTCAGCCATGATCTCCAACAAACACATGATTCCCATTCATGTGTTCGTTCTCTGAGGCAAATGGTTACAGAACAGTTTTAGTCTTGCCTTGGTGTTTCCTACTCATGTCCTGTCTCTTGTCTGCTGAGCGTGCCCTGTTCCTGTTTTGGCTCAGCAGAGGGAGCTAGTTTAAAGTCCCGTAGTTTTTCTGATGTCATGTCTTATCCTGCCTCTCAACTACTTAGCTCACCTGTGCTATATCTGAACGTTTTTTGCCTGAATGCTCTATGGATTCCTGGAAACCTGGATCTGTCTGTTCCTGTTCTGATCTAAACCCATGGCCCGGTTACAGACTCCTGGATGTCTGAGCCTTCCTGTTCTGAACTGTCTCCCTGACCTAGCTTGGACATCTGCCTGCTCACTGGGGCTAGTGCGTCGGGGACACTCGTTTTGCAGTCCATCGCCTGGATCCTGCTTCATTCTTTGGAGTTGGACTAAACTGTTAAACCAGGTAAGTGACTTACTTGGATAATCATCTTCCGTCAGATTATCATGGTCACTAACCTGTGTTTCTCATCAACCAGAGTGCCAGTGATAGGTGATGCCCATCTCCCCCTGCAGCTGCTGCAGATCCAAAGCTCGGCATTCTGTGCTGTTTTTCTTTATTGAACGTTTTGAACTTTCCCACTGTCTGCCTCGTCTGAATTAAAGGTCCTATAAGTCTATTACATCATAATTTTTACAGAGAGGGATTTGAACCTACTAGTCCTCTTTGGACAACATTGACCAGGGCTTCAGAGAAGGTCTCGCAAACCACCTCAGAGGGGTCAAGGGGAGATTTAACATCATCAATGATGCAAACCTTGATCATGCTCATATTAAACACATAGAGGCAACATCAGTAGAGAGGAATATTGAGGTTGACAGGCAAGGCTTGGATGAGAGGAGCAACATCCTGAAGTCTAAATGCATTCTGTGTTTTAATTTTTTATTTTTTGCTTGCATGGGATAGCCATGATGAATTCATTATTTGAGGAGGTCGTCCCTAAGTACTGTATGCCATCTTAGACAGAGCGTCTGTTATGGGATGAATAGGCTGTATTCACTGCAGATGAAACTTTACTGGGACAGTACCACTGCCTCTCCATCCATTATCCCTGTGATACAGTAAATGTTATGATAAAATATCGGACAAACAGGGGATCAGAATATCTTGCCTGTTGAGCCAGGCCGCAAATTCCCTAACGACCTCATTTCAGAGGCATAGACCAGTATCGGGTATTGCAGGCTGACAAAGAACCCAAACGACTCCCCTAAGGGGCGGACCCATACTTCCGGTTCAATTTGTATGTTTTCTAAACCAAAACAAGGCTTTGTTTTTGGTCTACTCTATAAAACCTCAAACTCAACGCTGTTTCTGACATTTTGAATGGAAAAAAGCTTCCTGGATGGGAAGCAAAACGTCTTCAAATTTGGACACAAAGTCCACTTTTTTGATTGACTATGACCTGGATGACTGAAAATCTTCTCCAGCAAACAGATGGATGGATATTCCACCCAAACTACAACCCCAACAAAATTAGAGCTTTGCGGCAGAGTGGGTCCCTCCTCACAGCTGGCTGCTCTAGAACTGCTTCGCTTCAATCCTCTTCTTCTATTTTTACTTCACCAAGTTACATCATGATTCAATGTTAGTACATCAGGTCGAAATATTGGGCCATGTATATGACAGAAAATATTTACATATCAGATTAAATAGAACCCTCTGTGTCTGGTTTTCTAAGGCCTTTATGTTTAATTAAATGAGTGTATGTAGACCCCATTACTCCCTCTCTGATGCTGGCCCCCTGCCTTTGCCTCCTGGAGGAATATTCTCCATGACTAAACCACATATTTAGATAAAATCTACAGAAAAATGTAAAGGTTTCCTTTTGGGTGGAAGGGATCAGACATAATATCAAACGGCAGTAAATTTAGACAGAAGACATTCTACTTTACCTGAAGGTGACCGGATGCTACAGCAGTTCCCTCTCCCTCTCTCCCTCTCTTTGTGTTTTGATGAGGAGATAAGACTCCATCCAGGAGAGTAGATGAGTAATGCTACAGAGACCAAACATTGAGCACTTTGATTTTTCCATTACTCTGTGCTTTGTTACTGGAGCATTGCCTTGGACTCCACTGTAATATTGATTAAATCCTCTACTCTGCTACTGATCCTGTATTTTTCGAGTTCAAGACATTTTAACTCATTCTTATCAGCAGAAAGGAGTTTTGCAGCCTTTAGTTATTATGCAATAATTTCCTACTAATGTGTTTTTTTTTTGTGTGCAGAAAATCTGTCCAAAAACATAGCAGGTTTCCTTAATCACCATTCCTTCAAACAACCCCGCCCTCATCATACTGCTAGGTACCTTATTTGTTTATTAAATGAATTAATAAAGTAAATAATAAAGCATATTCTTGATATTTTCCAGGTTAATTACTTTGTTTTTATGACATAGTTAAAAAAGATCTCTTATCAATGGAATATCTATAAAATACTTTTGTTTAACTATTGAAAACAGCCAAGGTTAATAAAGTTATATGATGTGGGTGAAGATTCTCAAGCATCCAAGTCATAGTCAATCCAAAAAGACAATCAACTGGACTTTATTTCTAGCTTTTTCAATTCAAAATGTAAGGAAAAGCTTTGAGTTTGAGGTTCTGTACAGTAGCTCAACAAAGCCTTGTTTTTGTTATAAAAACATGCAAATTGACACTGACGAATGGGTCCACCCCTTTGGAATGGGGGTCGTTTGCTTCTCCTTTACCCCAACCCCTTTACAAGAGAGCAGAAGACCTCCTCTATTCAGCCAGGCCAACAATTCCCTCTAACGACCCCCCCTTTCAGAGACATAGACAGGTATGGGGCATTGCAGGCTAACAAAGAAGTCAAACGACCCCCATTTCGAAGGGGTGGACCTGTCCGTCCTTTTCAAATTGCATGTTTTCAAAACAAAAACAAGGCTTTGATGAGCTACTGTATAAAACTTCGGATTCAACGCTATTTTTTTTTTTTGCTTTTATTTTTTTACTAATTAACGCTAAATTCATTAAATAACCGCGAACATATTAGTTTTAGGCATAAATAATGATCCATTGATTATTCCTTGCTCCTTTAAACTGTCAAAATTGTAAGTTAGCTTAACAAAATCAAGTGCGTGTTTTTTAACCCTTTAAAGCCCGATCCAAGAATAAAAGAAAACAGAAAATTACTTTTTTTTTTTGGTTTGAATTCCTTATTTGGCCTTTTAACAAATTATGTAAAAAGAAAAAACAGAATTTTTTTTTTTATATAATTAATTTAATACTATGCGATAAGTCAAGATTTTTTTTTGTGTAGTCTTCTACTGGCTGTTATCAGGTATATCTGATTGTGTACAATAGGATTTTGAGCAAAGTTTTCACCATTAAATTATGCAAAAGGTGTCAGACGCAAAACATTTCAGAAACCGTATGTATCAAATACGATACATTTGTACGGTGGCCCTGAAGTGCAAACTGCAACTACAAATCTACAAGCGCAACTACATTAAGGAAATCGCAACTACATAAAGCAAAGCGCAACTACATTGAGGAAATCGCAACTAC